TAATCATTTTGCAACACAAAGTGAACCAACAAAATCCAAAAGTCTGTAAAAGAGGGGAACTGTTGAGGATGGGTTGATTTGTCTTTACAATCCTCTTTTTCTGAATCAGAAAGGTTTCATTCAGATGTGAGTATGATATTTATAGATGCACTTTGTGTAATAAAAATAATCTAAAACAGATCTTCGGGGATTAGAGGGTGGTCCTCATCTATATTATATTTGACTGTCTAGGATAATAGATAAACGTAATCTGGAAGATGTGAATTATAGAACGTTTTCATTAACACTGAGTCCTCTGGTCTTTAAGCTGTAGAGCCTTTGACTCACTGCCATTAGGTAATAATGATTTGGAAGTTTTATGACAACCTTTTTCAGCTGTTGTCATGGTGTCAGCCAGAGTCTTAGGTTGGGTCTTTCCTTTTAAAATCTTGAATCTGAGATGAGATCGATGAGATATTTTCGCTTTATTGAATGTCTACACAGAAATTAGTGGCTTTATTTGATTTTTCCCAGTCAATTTCAGTTACAGTATTTTCCTCGCTCTCTTTCTCTGTCTCGCCGGTTGAGGTAAAGTGTGCAGCTGAAAGTGGTTTAGTATGTTGTTAATCCACTTAAGTTCACTAGTTGCTATTTTGTCCCTGAAAACCTGCTTTCATTAGAACCAGCAGTGTATTCACATGCGATGGGTTGATTTCAGGCATTAAGATGATGCTTTTATGATTCAGAAAGCACATAACCTTTTCAATCACTTAGCAGGATACAACAGACCTTTTTCACAGCAGCCATTTTGACATGAAATAGTAGGTAAACACAGGTGTTACCAGTGACACTAATTAAGGTTTAGTTCTATTTAGTGTAGCAGAGCTTTTCCAGTGAGCCAACGTGTGCAATAGCAGCACATGGATTCTGTTCGTATCATTCATTAGTATCATTGGTGTTTACCCTACTATTTCATGTCAAAATGGCTGCTGTGAAAAAGGTCTATAAATTAGTTGTTGAAGTTGTAGAAACGGCACACAACTGTAAGACAGAGCGAGGCACATGCTGTTCTCTGTAGTCGAGACAAGTTCAAAATAGCCACAGTGGGATAAATGTCCTTGGATCACAATTACACACTGGACTTTACACATGCTTTTGGATAATAGGTGAGAGGATGGAGTCATGCTTGAACCTGATGGTGTCTGACTTTACTGTGTCATTAAAACCGACTGAAGGTTCAGACATGACAAGATGGAACAGTTGTGATAGTGATTGAGGTTAAAATAAAAAAGACAACTGACAATAAAAACAATTAATTGTGTCAAAATGTGCGCGAATGAGACTTATAAACATTAGTTTGTCTGACTTGAAGTCTTTTGACTTGATGAAATGATGAGTCAAATGGATGTACTGCTGAAAGTTCACTCGACTCATCAAATTAAGTTTTTAAAGAAACATGATCAGCGTATTTTTTGTAGTGTCAAGAAAACTTTTTTGGAAACGTGTTGTGTGTCTATATATGTATTAAGTTACTGTAATAATGGAAACAATGCAAAACACACTTAAGGCTAGATTATTGGAAGCAGCTGGAAGTTCATTAAATTACTTTTCAAAAAAAGAATTATTAATTTATGTTAACTTATGTATAGAAAGCTAATAATTCGACTTTAGTCAATTTAACTCATATGTTTAGGGCGGCAGAGAAACATCCATTTTTAAATGTGTTTCCTGAGATAACTTTTAACTTTTGGAATACAAAATAAAATTGAATTAAATTAAGAAAAAACTGCTTAAAATGTTTTGCAGTGTACAAGCTAAAACTCAAACAGAAAAGTAGAAGAGTAGTTCTGGGTTGTCACAGGTATGTCAGGTGAATTTCCCTCTACTTCTTGAACTCAGCGTGGACTTGCATCCATTTTGCTCCAGTTGCCTCCTCTCACGGACAAAGTTGTAATTTATATTTCTTTATCACATTTGGTCTGAGCAAACAAGTCAAGAGAGCAATACAGAGTGAGAACAGGCAAGGTCCCTGACAGGTGCATCAAACAGCTGACAGACTGACAAGGCCAGTGACAATGACAGAGTGACAGTGATGATACAATGAACAAATGAGAGAGAGAGAGAGAGAGAGGGGGGATGTCAGTGACATAATCCAAAACGGTGACAATCCGGCACTGAATGGCGTTAATAATGGAGACCCAGAGCATGACAGTGACAGAGAGAGAGTGACGGCGTTGAAAGAGAGACAGACGGTGACAATGACAGACAGAGAGAGTGGCACTGATGATACTGAGGCAGATGGTGACAGTGACAGAGAGACGATGGCAGACAGAGACAGATGCAAACGATCTCGCCGCCTTGAGGTGTGAGGTGTGTGTCCTTCCTGCCGAAGCATCAGACAGCAATCAGCAGCTCGAGCTACAGATTGCTACGTTTATCTGTTGTGTGTGTGTGTGTGTGTGCGTGGGTGGCATACTTAGGGTTACTGGCAGGTAATTACTGGTGCTAAGTGTGGTTTCATACTACATCAAACAGTCCTTGAGCACCTATCCACTCCCAAAAACTAATTAAATTAAATTAAATTAAGAAAAATTATGTTTTCTGTAGAGCCTGACCAATATTGGATTTTTGAGACATGAACCAATACTGATTTTAGAAAAATCAGACAGATTACCAATATGGTGGATAATCTAACATAAAGTTAAATTGTCAACCAATTTTAGTTGGCACTGCTGAGAGCTGCTTCTTCTCTCTTACTCTGTGCTGCTTGCCACAGCATTGTAAATAGCATTCTGCTGGACAAACTTTGCAGTGACCATATAGTTACCAGCAGTGAATATATTAGTACAGGCATTTATTTCTGCATTATATCCCAGAAATAAAAACAGCTTTCATATCAATGCATATCTGTAACATATACACTGATACAATACTGATATATCTGCAATAGGCTAATATGAGCTGACTGATATATTGGTCTGCCAATAGTTTCCTGTGAGTGCTTCACAATAAAAGGCACCCTGTGTTGCCAGTTGAACACTTCTTGAAGCAGAAGCAATAGCACATTTTGTCTTGGCATTAGCAGTAGCTTAAAATAGTTTTGATAGAGCTGAAAATGAAAATGCTGGATTACATGGTGCATCAATTCCTGTGAATCCCTTCTGTGATTTTAATCCTGTGTGTGAATGGCGGACCCCGCCAACACAAGTGAAAACTACCATACAGAGAGGCTGACATGTTCTGTCAGTCGAGAAATATAAACATGTTACCTAGCAGCATTTTGCCTGATCTTTTCAAGAACTACATATTTTAGCACGCTTTAGCAACATTGATGCCGAACCTGACACATTCTTAGGGGGCAATAATTTTGGGACATTTCTTTAACTTTTTCTAAGAAAATAAATTATATAAACATACAAATCTGTGCGCTGCTAAGCAAGATAGCATATTGTGCTTTAAATAGGAAGAGGTTTGGAAAGAAATTGGGGAGCTGTTGGTGCAAATTATCCTCCAACTGTATAGCTAATAATAAAGTTATTATTATATAGAAAGAAGGCTGACATAGGTTGTCACTGCAACATCATATACCTGGAAATCTTTTCACGCTCCATATGCTAGAGTTTGCTCTCTGTATGTTAGGACAGAGACATCAGAGTCAGAGACAAAGTGAATACTAATGACATGTTTTAAACATCAAAATTTGTCTGGATTTGCAAACTATTAGACTGACAGTTGCAATAACAGCCAAACACTATAAATAGAGACAGTAACAAACAGAGAGTGGCATTGATGACAGAAAGAATGACTGTCATGAGGAGTGTGACCACATCTTGGTCATAAAGTTGTCTTTGTCTTCAAGGTTGATTCGCCACAGACTGAGTGAGAAAGTAACAGCAGAAATAAACTGCTGTGACCTCTGTACGTCTTCAAACACAGAGAGACTTAATCGAAAAAGCTAGTTAAACAGCCAAAGACAGAACTGATGGAGAGTTTAGATCTTGCCCTTTGTTGCTTGTTCTACGTTCAGAGCAGACTGCTGTCATGGCCCAAGCTCACCTCTTCGAGACTTCTGCTTCAAAAAAAGAACACCAACATGGAAGAGTGAAAAGTGCTGGTTTGCCTTTAGGCGAGAATTGTATCTCTGACTTCCTGCTAAGCAATTTATATTCATTTTTTATATGTAAAAAGTATACAGTTGCTGATGATTATGTCCTTACAAATAGTTCAATGGTATCAGAAGAAATATGCAAGTTAATATTTTGTTGGGACAACTGGGAAGCATTAAAGGGAAACAATCTTCAAAATACTCTTTAAAGAAGCATTGCAGCTTTTTTATATGCATTATTACATCTGCACTCCATATGCCTCCATAACTACAAGCCAAATACAGAAAGACTTCTGACTGTCCTTGTTTCTACCTTGCACATCCCTGCATATGCACTTGCACTTTTTTTTGTTGCATATATTTATATTTTTTTATGTTCAGTTTTTATCCTTTATATTTCATTTTTCTCTCCCTTATATAATTTTCACATTGCATATCAATACACTTATTACTTTTTTGAATTGTTTGAATATTTGACTTTATTGTGTTAGAAAATACAGTTTTACTCTCAGCACTTTGAATATCGGGCATGAATGAATTCCCAGGTGATGTTTACCTGTTGCATTGACACACTGACCATCTCTGGGATGCCACTGTGGAGATGCTCAGGAAAAAAACCCCAGCATATTTTGCTTCTCTTCACAACGAGGCTTGGGTTGAAATGTTTTTCCCAGTCACTACGCCATATTTACAGAAACCAGTTTCCAAAATCCAGCATTGCCAAAGCATGCTGATTATCTACTCAATTCTGGATCCTAACCCAGGAAAAGCAGGATAGAAGTGTAAAAGGGTCGATCATATCATAAATGTTAGGGTTAAATTTTACAGCTTATTTCTGCACAGGGTGACTTAACAGTGACTGCATCACTAGAAAAAGCTCTGAGGTCTGTTGTTTTCTGGGTGCACTGGTGCAGTCATGAGGATTATTCACATCAACCCTGCCTGGTACAGCAAGGACTGTGGATGTGTTCAGTCAGGCTCTGATGCTAACGTCATGCTGCTGTCACGGGACAGGCAGACAGTGACGGTGGAAGGGATGAAAGCAGATGAGGGCACAGCTTTGGTATTCATGTGGTTTGTGAACTATGTTTACAAGTGAAGTTGCTATTGTTACTACTGTTTATTGAATTTGTCGCATACAAAAATGTTGTACACAAGCTCATAAAGACAGGGATTCTTGTGCATACATACAACATGTTTGAAAGTGTGGTTACGAAAGAGAGCCTCTTAATGAACTGCTATTGAAAAAAAAATGAATAATAGAATGAATAGATTCATAGATAATAAACAGTTGCTGCCCTACAATTAAGAAATCAGACTCTTTTCTTTCTTTTAGTTGCTATGTTCCCACAAATTTCAGTACAGTGTCTCATTTTTTTTATATTTTCACCTTCTCATAGTTTCCTCTCTCTCTTTCTCTACAGTCATCTGCAATTTCCGGGGCTCAGTGACTCAGGGTTTGGCTCTGGAGGTGGGAGAGACGGTTCAGATTCTGGAAAAATGTGAAGGTAAGACTGATGAATAGGTACACAAGATACTGTGGGGGTGGATGTTTGATACAGCAATAATGTCCTTGGTCATTGTTGCAACTTCACTAAAGCACCAATAATCACTGTAAACACCCTCCAGGGTTAGAGATTACTGTCCTAAAGGTTTTCTTTAAAGACATTTGCATTCATAAAGAATGAATATCAGGGAAGGGACTCGAGGCTACAGTTTTAAAGGTCCAGTGTGTGACATTTGGAGTCTTTATGGTTGGCAGATATATTCACGTTTTCATTAGTGTATCACCTGCATATAGGAACTGTTATGTCCCTTACCCTAGAATGAGCTGGTAATATCTACAGATGGCTATGAATTGCTTTCTGCATTGTAATATTTTTCTTCCTATGCTTCTAGAAATGAACTACACTAAGACAGGTTAACAAAGCTATAACCTGTTGGCTGACTGTCAGACTTAAGAACCGTAAGAACTCTGCTCCTGAGAGCCCGTAATCATATTTTCAAACGACTACAGTCTGAATGTGACTAACATTAATTAATGTCACCGAGCTGTTCTTATGGTACTGATGTAGGTATTCAGTGATCTTCCTTGGAACATTCAAACTCTTTATTCCCTTCAGAGAGATGTTTCAAGCAAGCAGGGTTACTTTTCAGTTTGGCTATTGTATTCACTGAACTAAAAACATTGTGGGAAAGTGTAGGATTATTCAGGGGCGTCATAGACCTCGATACAAACATAAGGACAAAACACATTTAATTAGGAATGCCACCAGATAACCTCACTAAGATACCTGCTCCCATAAGGCTCTCTTTATCATATTAAATCTTCTCTGTAAATCCTAATAGTATTTTTTATTTTTTTTGACCACCAAATCATTTTTGTTTACTAAGAAATGTAGCAATGTGCCAACAAAAGCAATATAAAAAATACTGCTAGCAAACATGGTTGTTAACAATCAGTCCAGTCTCACTCACAACTCGTTTGAAATTTCCCCATTGTGGGACTAATAAAGGCATATCTTATCTTAAATACTGCCGCTTGGTCAGTGGCCCTCAGCTCGAAAAATGTACTCATTTTGAAACCATTTATGATAGTTGTAGTATAAAGAGTCTATATGGGTCTTTATACTGTGAGGGGGGGTCCATGCCCACATGGAAATCCTTTTACCTTTATTCATTCAGGGAACTGTCACTGAGAGTAATGCTATATTTTTCAGGAAAGCCCTGATCACATTCACACAATTACACATTCAGCTGCCCAGCGCAACCAGTCTGATCTGCTGGCCACTGAGCAGCTCCACTGGAGCAGCTGGAGGCTCTAGGTGCCTTGCTCCAGGGCACTTCAGCAGTGTTAATGAGGGAGGGAGCGCTGCCTTTTACTTTCCTCACCCAGATTTATCTTGCTTATCCAGGAGATTAAAATGATGACCACTGCCCACAGTAATGCTGCTCTGGCTGTGTTGTCACAAATGCAAACAAAGTAATACACGTACTCATTGCTGCATCCACGGTTCTCTAAAATAATGAGTGCAAAGAGCCTGTAATAGCCCAGTGCGGGCCTGGACAAGAGCCCAAGTTATTAGCCGATGTTACTCCCATTGTTATTCCTACTTTGACTCTCAGAAATTAGCAACTCAAGCCAGGATGTGTATGAAGCCAGGAAGTGTTGTCTTTTGCAGATAATGAGTGAGTATGTGCCTCATTAGCCCCAGCTGGGCAGGCCGCTACCATCGATCCAGTGCCAGGGGCTGATTGGGCCTTTCTTTACCCGGGGAGGGACCTGCCCACGAGGAAGAGAGAGGGAGAAAGGGGGAAATGTTCAGTTGATGGAAAAGAGAGAACAACATGGGTTTACTTTGCCTCTCTCTCTTCTGGCCTCCACTTCCCCCTGTGTTGTCATCTCCTACAATCCTCTTCCCTTTCTCTCCCCAGTCAGCTTTATCTTTATCCCCTTCCTCTCCACTGTATTCTTTTATCCTTCCTTTCCACTTCCGCTCTTTCTCTTCTTCATTTTTCCTCTTATTGTCTGCTTGTATTGACCAGCCTCATATTCAACCCTGAACTAACTCCATGGCATCCAATCAGCATCTAATTTGCTCTTGTTATGAAATGCAACCCTCCTAGCGAGGGACAAGGGCTATTGTCTGAGCCCTTGTGGCATAGGCTGTCATCACAGCTTTCCCTTTAACACACAGTGATTATCGGGGCAAGCCAGGGCTAACTTTTGTCCAAGATACCCAAGGTAATTTAAAGATTTCCCCAGCTTCTGTCATTATCTGAACATGCAAATGCATTTTTAGAAAATACCCTGCAAACAATGGTCGGCTAGTAGCGCAGAACATTATTTATATTTATGGGACAATGTTTGTCTGTGTAATTAGTAGTTAAATGTTTTTAATATGTTGTTGTTAATATGTTCCAGTCATGCAGAAATGTTATCAACTATACATTTTATTTCCTTTGTCTTTTTTCTTAACTTTTATATCTCTACACACTCAATGAACATTAGAAAATCACCTAGGAGTGTGTGTGTGTATGTGCTTTGGAGTGGATATGTCATCGTTCAGCTGCTGCAGAAATACTGCAGAGCTTTTATCCATAAGGTACACTGAGTGTTCAAGATGCAAGGAAAATCTTCCCTAAAATTGTCTTTCCCTGCCCTCTCGCACTGTGGCTAGCACTTGTCTGCCTGCACTAATGCCAAATTATCCTCCCCAGACAGAAACTCAATGACTATAATGACAGTGATATGGAGATGGAAGCCAGGCTGCAGGAATGCAATCCCCAAGTTCCATTCTTAAAATATAGAGTGCAGTCATAACACTTGAGAAAGCATTAGACTTCAATTATGGGAGAAGCAGCAATTTAAAGTATGAGATTTTGACTCTTAGTACTGTCAGCATTACTGAAGTGCCCATAGTCTCAGCTCAGAACAGACTGTCATTATTTTGGAGAGGCTTTTCAGCTGTAACAAATCTTTATAGCTGCTGTTGTTGATGTCCAGGAGACACCCGCTGTTGGTAAATAACAGTTAAATATTACAACAACCAGGCTGTCAATAGATAACCTGATATTAGATGTAGATAATATGAGTCATTGTGTAAGAGAATTTCTATGTTTCAACATAGAACTATATTGTTCTTTAATTTAGTTGAGCATAACACAGGAAACAATACACCATGACTCATTCTTCTGCAGTGAGTTCAGACTGATTTTGAATTATGTGTTGCAGATTTAATTTAGGACTTTTCAAAGGAGGAAGTATGGGAGATGCCTATGTCTTACTGAAAAAAAAAATTCTTAGGAATAACATAAAAAGACCTTAAAATACAGAAATCATACTATTGCTGCAGTGCAGCAGTTTGCTGTCTGCAGGTGCATGTGATGTTTTCATTGTTCCTCTTTTTACACAATTTTAATGAATGTTTTAGAATAACAGAATCAATCAGGATATCACCTGTTCCCTGTACATAGGCTGTTCCTACGACTATTCATTCTAGTATCTTTTTATATGAGGGCCCCTTTCCCCCCCAGTCCTACACCCGTGGCTCCATGACCATTTTGTTTTTTCTATACATACAAAAACAACAACAGAAGCCAAACATTTGTACCAACAGTTGTTAGACTTATGTTGCATTCATACAATATTGTTTTTATCATAAGTCTGAGTAGGAAAAGCAGGCTTTACTTGCAGTGGTGCATTAGTGGGTGATTACATATATAAATGTGCATATTAGTTGTGCATACCCATGATACTGTATGTAATGAATGTGGCAGTAAAAGAGGGTGCAGCTAACCTCACCAATACATTTTGCAACGCTTCTGCTTAATTGCAATATATCAGCCGATTGTTTGAGACTGTGTTTACAACTTGACAGTAGCGGTTAGCCATAAGGCCAAACACAAAAATAATCAAGTATAACAGTTCAGAAATGAGTGGTTCCCTCTGAACAAAAGGAACCATTGTATTACATTCATTGGGCATATGCTTTTGTCCAAAGCAAGTTACAATAAGTGCATTCAAACCACATGGTAGCAAGAACTACATATTGTTTTAAACTGGCAATGTATCCCTTTTAAACAAATAACTAAAGGCATGCTCAGTGCTAACGTACAAGAGATTAGAAATGTTTTTTGCAAAGAAATGAGACATAAGTAAGTGCTTGAAAGTGTTTTTGAGATGTAGTCTTAAAAGGTGTTTTTTTATCCTGCGGTGGAAGAGGGGAAGTGACTCTGCTGTTCTGACTTCAGTGTGGAGCTCCTCTACGTCCACAGGGTCTTCTGAGTGATTGGATGGCTAAAGGTCCAGAGGCAGAGTGGCATAGTGTTCGGGCCAGGATGTGACCATGGCTTGAAAGCAGGACGGAGTCGATAATTATCCAGGGTCACTCCCAGTGCCGTCCGAGTTGGCACTACCAAGGTGTTGTCAATGGTCATGGACAGGTCTCTGTCAGACGACCCTTTCCTCCGGAGGAACACAAGATCACTCGTCCAGTTTGAGCTTTAGGTGGTGCCTTGACATCCACTCCGATACATTGGCCAGGCAAGCAGTGAGCAGCGATGCGTGTCAAAACCATGAGCCAAGCTGTATATTTCCAACACCAACCATTTTATATCCAGAAGAAGCTGAAAGGTAGAAAGATGCAGTGTAGATGCTGATCAAGTATCCTAAGTATTCTATATTCGTTGTTGCTATGACAACTAATAAAGTAACCATGGTGCTACTCATCAATTTCTTTCTTGGCCTGATTTTAATTATTGTTTGCACAGTATATTGATTTTGAACTAATCAATCAATACTCGTCCATTGGTAGTTTTGTATAAACCGAGCATGATGTGTTCACAGTCAGTGGCTCGGTGGCTCAGCTGCAGTTCACACCTCTATTGAATCACTGTCATAACCGTAATTACAATGAAATACGCCCTCCTGGGTACTATTACTGCATCAACAAGCAATTCCTTTTTTATGAACTAGCTGGAGGTGTGCTCTGCAGGGATATGAAGCATCATTTAAGACTCATATTTGACTGATTTGATAGCTTGATGGAAACCTGCATTTATTGTATAATGCTGTATTCATAATTACTTTATTCTCAACCTGCATTAACTTAACAAAAGTGGCTCCTTGAGTTCTGCCTCCCACTTAGAAATGATTTACAGTGATTATTATTGTGAATTATTTTGATAACAGTGCAAAATAATTATTCTAATAACCACTTAAGTGAGCCGTTTGGATACAAGAGGCAAGATTATTACTCTTCTTCAGACAAAGGCTGTATGACAACAGACAAATTAGGCACATACATGCACCTGCGTGCACATTCATGTACCACACACCTGCTCCTTCATCTCTGCCTCCCCAAAAATAAAACAATCATATACACACTCACACATACAAATGAATGTTTTATCTCCGTCTTTCTGTCCTCTTCTGTGTTTCTCTCATCTCTCACAGATGCAGTAAACTCACTCAGCTACAGAAACACACACACGTCCTCATTTCAACCCTTACAAATAGTCCTAGACACTGCTGGTCCAGCCTCAGTCTGATTTCCATATAGATGAGAGGCTAGGGAGTAAACACAGCCATCTAAACGAGGGTGATAAATGAATCTTGATTGGTTATTAATTAACTGGCCAATTAAGCCTCCATCTCCATATTCATATCAGATTATGTAGAACTGCTGAGAAGTGGATGTCATGATTTTTCAAGAAGATAAGCTGAGAGTTAATATCCTGATGCAGTGTTAGTACTTGTATTTGTGGAACAGTTTTCAAAATGTTTTATAAGAAATGGGTAATGATTAGTACTGTTTCACGATGCCACTACCTTTTAATCTCTCAGGAGATATCTAAACATTTTATTTACAGAAGTGTCTTAAAATGTGTTTGTTAGAGCACACATTGGACATTGTTTTGATCCAGATAACGTCAAAATCAACTCAGATAAAATATAATGAATTAACTTTCTATCCGTGTTCCCCCTGTGATAGTCTAAGAAGGTCAAAGTAATAATATGCATCATTTTGATATAAATAAATGTCTCTTTTGCTTCACTCTGTCACTGACAGACAGTGGTCATCCAAGCCTTACGTCTCCAAGAGCCAGAGACACAATCATTTTTATTTCCACTTGGACTGAGACAAATGATGTCTCCACAGTCTGAGAGGGTGTCTGGGTGCGTCCCTGTACATATGTAGTCCCTCGATACACGTCATTTCCACCTGTCAAGGTTTTTACTTCAAGTCAAGTCAACTTTCATGACAGCCTTCTACTCCGCAGAGGCCTCTAATGAATGTCCGTCCATGTGGAAAGAACTGTTGTGCTCTCTGAGAGCTGCACAGTTGCCTGCACACACACACACACAC